GCCGCCGCTGCTGCTGCTGCTGCAAATAAAAATGATAGTACTAGCGATACCATTTAGACAGTCCTTTTGCTTCATGCCCACTATTCGCAATGCCAACATAATCAACGCTAAAACTTTGCAGGCGAGACCTGTGGCTCGCCATGGGGAGAAGGCGCGCAAAAGTCATCTTGACTTGCCATTGTGGCCAGATGAAGCCAGGTCTTCAAGGGCACAAGGCCGTACTCATGGCAACAAACGGAACTGTGCGTTTGCCATAGTAATTTATGGAAGAGCAAGTAGAGCTCAAAGTGTCTGATCTTTAAGCCCGTACTCAGAATGAGGCAATTGCAACGGGAATGCTTGAGAGATAAACTGGACGTAGATGCACGCACATGCGCTATCCAACATGCGAATTTCTCATGTCAACAGTAAGGAATCTTTGTGGGATCCCCTGTATGCAGAGAAACAACAAGCTTTTTGGCTCTTGTCAGGAGCCTTGAATGTCTGGACGTTGCCTGGGCCAAGAAGGCCAGGACGGTTGGAGCTAATAGGGAGTACAGGAAATTTCCAAGTATCGTAGGCTGCTCAAAGGTGGTGTTGGAGCCATGATCTTGAGTCAGAGCTGCAGAGTGGACTGACAGGCAGGTGAAGCAAGCCTCAGACGATGACTTGCATTATGCTTGCGATGCATTCATTTGACTTCAGTGTTTGGCGTGTCTTCTGATCTGAGTAATTCTCGCCGTTGTTCTTCTTGCAATGTTACGTCCATCATTTTGTATTGTGCAGCGCACTTGCAGGCATATAGGCAAGCTCCTGCTCCTGGCATGGCCTACACCTCAGAATGTGCAGGGAAGGCCTTCTTATGTAGGTGGTTGTTGACAACAACTGAGTCCCCATAAATTGCCCTGAACTGCGAGATCTTGATGGAAGGAGCCAAGAGTTTTGAAGGGTATTGCATTTTTTGTCACATCCACGTTTTTGTCGGCGTCCACGCCCTGATATGCCCTGAAGCCCAACCAGGTCATGTACTTGGACAGAATTCAGACTGTCGAGGCCCAGTGATCTTTTGCACGCAGCCGTTGCTGGCCTGGATTCACCATCATGCTAGATGAGCTTCCATGACACTGATTTTGGCACATGAGCACATGTGGGCAGGACAAGCTGCTCCTAAGCGGTCATGTCTCTGCCCTCTTCGGGAACTTCGCAAAGGCGAGGGAGCCGGTGCCTCAGCATCGGGCTTGCGGGGGGTACACTTACCCGCACTGTCGCCTGGGTCAAGGAGACGTTTAATTAGGCCTTATTCCAGGAAAAGAACCGACACATTCACAAAGACGGGGCCAGATGCCTTGCAAGGTACTTCCTGCAGAGCTGCAGCCCAGAGACGGTGGCTGGCTCGGCTGGTCTGCATACTCCAGCTCTATGCGGTTACACAGACACATCCTAGAAATCCAGTCAGTTGCACGAGTGTTGCTTGCACCTGAGCTCAGGCATTGGACATGCACTGCGATTTTCTAGAATGGGATCAGGTGCACGACTCGTCCAGTCATGCAGCGCTCACATCATGTGCTGGCTCTGCTTGCCACTACTCAATGGTGCAGTCATGTTCTTCTCAAGCGCCTCAGGAAAGGCACTGGAGTCTTCTGTTTGCCTTCCACAGGCACTGCAGCTGGCGCAAACGTACGCCCCGCACCGCTTGAGCGACATCTACCTGAAGTCCGACCCCGAGATCTCTTCCGATTCTTCCGCCCTTCCGCGATGTGAGACAATGTGAGCTCTACCTAAATCCAGATGCACATTTCGCAGAATGGCTATCGTGAGATCACTGCGCTGTTTGCTACCACCACGTGGGCAGTTGTCGAATGGTGGGCCTTGTCGGGTCGTTATTCGAAGATGTGCGTTTCAAGCTGCAAACCATCCGTCAAGATTTTGCGCCCAATTTGGCGTTCACTGCTAACACATTGCAGGAGCGCACTGCAGCTTGAAGGGCGCAACCAGAATGAGCAGGCAGGCACTGAAAAGCTTGACCAGTGATCCGCCTCATGCTTCAACAGCATGGGCAACTTGCTTCCTGTTCTTAGGGAGTCAAAGGGAGACAAATGCCACTCTGCCTCAGCCGACATAAGCAAGGTTTCATACAGAACCTTCCATGTATCTTAATCTCATGCGGACGGGGTTACTTCGACAAAAGCTGCTTCAGACATTTTTTAGTAAAGCAAGCGGAGCTGGCCCTGCCTACAGGCTCTCAGCCACTATGAGATGGCAATGTGCTTTGGATGCATTTTTTGCCCAGTAATTAGGTTGCACGGCTAAGAGGCATAATGAGTAGATGATTCATAGCAAAAAGCGTTTCGCGATGATATCAGTAGAAGTTGCAATTCATTTTGAGCAGTGATCTTAGACTCCAGAATGCTAGGCCTGCTTGCACGACAGCACGACCTCATAATTTGTTTCTGCTGAGCCTACATATCAAGGCGCGACCACATCCCCGGGACTCGGCCAGAGCATGAATCGCAGTGCAAGGCGTGTCCGAATCTGCATTTAAGCATTGCCACTGAGGGTGGGACATATCTTCAAGTTGTTTTCCAAGCGCACATCAGCGAAGTGAGAGGGCCCACAGAAAGAGCTTTTGCTACGAAAGCTCTGCAGCCTGCTACCTGGACTGAAGTTGAATGCTTCCATTCGCAAGGCAGGTATTGCACGAACATCAGTGAAGATGGGCGACTTGCCGCGCGGCATGCAGATGGCCTTTGACCTGAATGACCGGCGCTTGTCACGGCTTGTCACCATGTTCAAATCTAAAACGCTGTCTGTCTCGGAGTTGTTGCAGAACCGTTGCTGTGCAAGTCTTGGTGATGATAAAGATGATGGTGTCGGTCTGTCTATTCCCCTCATCTTTTTGCTTGCTGCATCTATCAGCAGTCTTGGCAGGACCCGGCCGTGTGCCGCGACTGCGCTGCAGTTCTCCACAAGATGAAACAATATGTTGAGGTCCAATGGCTTGTATGCGGTGTAAATCATCAGCTGTAGCCTGTGGTCAGTGGATCAACTGATCAGCGCACGACGCATCCGTATCAGGCTGCCCAGCTCTATGAAGCAGCTGGCTCGTACGACCAAGCAGCATCCTTGCACCTTGCCTGAATTCTGCAGGCTGCATGTCTTAGTATCCCTGGCAAGAGCCTTACCTAGACCTTTCATCCAACATCTCCAAATTATGAGACGTCGGAATGAAGTCTTGCAGGTATATCTTGGACTTGAACTTCGATGCAGCTGCACCACTCATGGCCAAGGCCAGCGTAGCCAGGTCAATGATAGTGATACAGTGAACCCAATGATACTGGATCAATCCTGCGTGGGCTTCATTTCCGTAGATCCAAAGAATTACAGGCACAGGACTGCACGATTTTTCTGATTTCCACTGCGGCTACTGGTCCAAATTTGCCACCATCACACCTGTTGCGCCGTTTGCCACTTGAGCTGCCCTGTGAGATCTCGACTCCCAAGCTGCACCTGCAGTTTGCAAAGGCCAAAGAGCAGGATGCTTAGACTCTCATGGTACCGGCTACTCATGACTACTCATCAGCTGCGAACTGGTCGTGTCTTGCTACGCAAGCTGCGAGGTCGCGGGGATCATACCAGGATGCCTTGATCGCGTGAGCGCATGTAGAAAGCCAGTTTATGAGGCCAACGTGAGCTGTTTGCTCTTAGCTTTCGTGCAGCTGTGTGGCAGGTACGAGCGCGCTCGAGATTTGGATAGCATGGTCCGAATCTGCTTGGACAACCTGAATCAGCCCCAGAAGGCCAGAGTCCAGAGCGCAGCAACTACTTCTTGCACTGGCAGCGGCCAAATTGCGAGCATGTCAACACAGAATCCTCTTCCTTGTCTTTATCACGATGCAAGCAACTTCATGCAGAGAAGTCTTGATGTTGAACAGCTCTTCTGTTGTCGGCCGCGGGTGTCGGACTGAATCAGTTGGTACGTGCGGGTAGCCATGACAGCAAGTTGCAGATCGAACACTCATCGACTCCATCGTGGATTGTTGGTGACTACCAGCTGCTCGAAGACACATGACAACATGCTAAAAATGGGTTAACATGTGCCAAACCACATAGGGGTTCAAGGTAGCACAATTCCACGCAATAGCTGCCAGCCATGCCCTTCCCTACCAAGATACTCCAGACACAGCTGCTGCCAACTTGCGTTGTGCGGCTGACAAGCAACGAAGATACTCCTCATGGAACCATGAAAGCCGGTTCACCGCATACCCCACAAGACTTCTGCACCTCCATCCTTCTCTGTTTGGGTTCCTGCGCGGGCCGTCAATGCGCGCGCATGCCAGATGCTCAGACAATGTGCAAGCTACATGTAGGCGCTGTGCGGTTCGTGTAGGCTGCCATTGCTGAAGGAGGGCTTCCTTACAGATGTTTGTGTCGCATGCAGGGAGAAGGAAGCTGGTCGTGATGACCTTTAAGTTTACATTACGCAGCTAAGTAATGCGCCCTCGACTGCCCCCAACTGGCAGGATCAGCGAATCAAGTCCGCAAAGGAGAAGCGGGAAGACGGACTGGAGCTGCACAAACGAGGTGGCACACAAGAGTCAAATCTGCAACAGCAGTGCTAAAAACAACGCAAGCATGACCAGCGGTGTTCGAGATGGTGTGATGATGTGACTCTCGCTGCGATCGTGATTCGGCCTATGCTCTGACTCCAAAGTGCCTTCTTGCAGGTGATCTGATTTCAGCTGATGAAGCCTTCGCTCAAAGCCTAGCATTTGCCCGGCTCGGTGCATGTGTCATGATGTGGAGTCTGCCTGAGCCTCACAACAGTCCGTTGCTAGTTGGCATTTGCTTGAAATTGCTGAGGGCGAGGCAATTCAGTTCCTGGAGCGTCCAGGACGAAGTGATCGGCCGAGGCAGCCCCATATTACATTGTTTTCATGTGTTTACCCCCATGTCTTGATTTGGAGAGGTCGGTCACTGGGGCTGAGCACGAGGTTGGTGCGGGGAGCGTGCTGAATGCAGAACCCCTTGTCAAGTGCCTGAGTGGCAGGAACAGCTGTTGGCTGACTGCTACTCCAACAGAGCGCAATGCATCCTTGATATGGCGCAGGCTTGCTGGCTGCTAGGGCATGGCAGGTGGTGTGAGAATTGACTGGCCAGGGGAAAGGCATCCTTCCGGACGGAACCCCCTTCGTGTCACAGTTTGAGGACGGAACATGATGGGAACGTGATGATACGCAAATTTACCCGCGTTGATTTGACATGACCGTTTGCTGATCATCACGTCACGAGGCTGATGTTGGTGCATGATTGCAGGAGGAAGAGCACTTTGATTACTTTAAGAAGCAGGCCTTGAAACAGGCCAGCTCCGTTGAAGCAATGAACAGAATCTACATCCTCCCAGTTAGACTGCTATGACGCGGCTCCGTCCCGTTCAGGCTGAAGAAAGTGCAGAGAAAGCTTGTTTGGTGTGAAGCCTACTGCAGTCCAGTCTAACGCAGCTGGTGCAGGCATGCAGACCATTCTCTCATATACTTCCCACTTGAGGAGCCAGACGCGTCAATCGCTTCGACTGCAAATTGCAAGCCATTATACCTAACTTAGCCGCGCTGGTTCAGAAAGAAAGTCTTCCCATTGCCGAGGTTTGGTGTGATGACAAGAGCCTCTTCAGACTAGGCTTGGCAAGGATGCTGACAGCTCAGAGCGCCCTGCATGTTTACCTCACCTTGCTGCTTCCGGAAATTTGGCGCTTGCACCTACCCTGCCAGGTCTGCACGAATCGAGGCTTGGAAAGGTGATTTCTTCAAATCTTTTGACGCACTTGTTCAATTCAATGCTTAATACTGTCTCAGATCACCATTGTGATGTCAAGCTACAGTGACCACCTGTGAACTGTACCCTGCGCGACCACCTACCACTGGTCAACATTGTAGCACTTGCTCCTTTCTTAAATGAAGGCCTGGTGGGCTTGGTGACATTTTCTTTTTTTCCCGTGCTCGGGAGGCCATGTGGATGATGCCTGAAGACAACAACGAGGTCATGAAGGATGCTGGCAGGCGTCCTTGTTAAAGGAGAAGTGTAGGGCAGAAGAGAGAGATAGTTTCCATGTCAAATGTCAACAGCCCCTGGCGCTTCATCTGAACATAAGCCCAGCGCAGACTCTGGAGTCACTTGGAGCGCACTTGTAGAAAGCAAGACGTGGGCAGTGGCCGCGTCTGTTTAGCCGTATTTTCACTTGCATAGAGGGTATGCGGCTCTTGCAGTTGTTGCACATGCTCATCACATCTAGCCGCTAGCCAGGTGCTTTCTGAAAGCCATGAGAGCTCGTCCGTCCGCTGCCAGTGAGTTCGCAGACTCAGCGGGATGTTCGACATAGTGCCATCATGTCGACATGTGTTTCCATATGTTGCGATGTACAGCATCATGGGCATCTCCCATGTCCCCAGGCAAAAGCTGGATGAAGTGAAGAGATGGCTTGCTGAGCGGAATGCCAGGGCCTATCTCAGGGCTCCATTCAACATACCACGGAGACCAGATAGTGTGAGTATTTGCTTCTCTCCAAGGTGACCACGCTCTACCCGGAGTACGTGTGAACGTGTGACTGAGGTTCACACGGTGTCACCTGACTCGTTCCAGAAAGAGGCGACTCATGGCCGACTCGGGCTCAGGTCCTCAGGATACCCTGATTGCAACGCCGGTGCTGCAGCCTGGCAGTTCGCACCGCAAGCAGCTTTTCTATTCTCGGAAGGAGCTCCTTTCGAGCGAGCTTTCGCGGACGCATGGGAGGAAAAGAGAGAACGTGACTTGATCTGCGGATCGCGGTACCTCAAAAGCACAAGGTCAAACTGCAAAGTAAGCAAAGAAAGCCTCAGCATCTCCGTAAAGGCTTCGTGGCAGGTGTGACTGCACTTCGAACCTTAAACACATGTAACAAGCAATGCAACAGCGACTGCAGAAGATGTTGCTTGTCACTATGGTATGGAAGGTAGCCTCAAAAGCAACAGCCATACAACTTGCATACTGTACTTGGGGTTTAACGAAGCAGCCAGGCTTAGAGAACAACACATGCTTTGTTTCTTGAGAAAGGCAAGGCGTCAATAAGTCCAGGCACTTATGTCATCATTCCACGCTCATGGTTCCTGGGGCGTAAGTTAGGCCATTTAGTCATCGCATTTGTGTGAGGCTGCGGCAGCGGAAGAAGAATAAGAATATCATGATGATACCATGGTGACGATGAGCATGTCGATGATGATGGCGACGACGGCAGTGACGACGACGAAGGCGGCGGCGGCGGCGGCTGCGATGATGCTAATGTGGAAGATGACGATGTTGCCGCTGCCTCCGTCCCGCTGATGACAATGGTACAAGCAACGGGGACACCGAGATTCACGGCAACCAGCATTATCGTGGTGGTGATCATGATGGTGGCTGCTAGTGATAGAATTAGTTTCATCAGTGTCTTCTCGCAGTGACTATCATCACACTTTTGGCTCCCGAACACAGGCTTTCCAGCTCGTGCGAGAGACGAGGCTAGCTTCAGGCGCTGAACGGGTCCGCGCCCCATGTTTTCGAACAAGCAGATTTTATGACAGGCGTTCTTGCCCACTCGGTAGGGCAGGAACTACGACAGAAAGCCCCCAAAAAGGGAAAACACTTTTTTTCGTACACATTTGGGCTGCGGATCAAACGGTTCTTTTTGTTGCAGAGCTCCAATCAAAAACAGTTTACCGCGCCACCTGCCGTAACATTGCTCAAATCCATGAGACCTTAGCAAAGGAACCCCATGAAGACTGAGAAGTCCATTCCTGGCTTCCTAGTTCTGCATCGCTGTATCACTTGCCTTCGTGCACAAGATCTCGTGATGGTCCTGTTGAATGTCAAAAAGCAGATAGTGGACAGTTTTCTCAGATTGGCCGCTGTGAAAGCTACCACCGGCAATCCTGAGGTAGCGGAGTACTGCCGAAAAAATGGCGATAGCCCCAGTCATGGTGAGCCTCATGTGGATCCAGCCCTGCCAGAAACTAAAAGCAGCAGAGTATTGAGTTGTATTGATTTGTTTTGATGCTGGGCCTGTCTTAGAATGAAACTTGAACCTTGAGCTGGCTTACGAACGCGTGTTTGTCAAGGCAACATCTCCGGCGCAGTGGAGTTTCTGCTTCTGGCCAAGAACACAGACGAGGCCACAACAAACCCTTGTGGCTTACACTACCAGCTCATTGTAAGTAACACCCTGTACTGACTTAGAGCAGTTCTGAAGATCAAATAACCCACCCCAAGAAGCCCTGTATGTGCTGCAGAGGCCTTCTTGCTGGCCGAGCGGCAGGCTTGCAACTTGCCTGTGCATGCCGGGTTGCACACAGGAAGCAAGTCCGGCCTTGTGATACGGATTCAACTGTCCAGGGTTGCAGGGGATGCGTCTTGATGCTGTTGGATCGAGGAAGACGTGCTAAGCTAAACGAGAGGTAATCGGCCCAGCAAGGGAGAGCGCGAGGGACCATAATATGCAAAAGAAGAGGATGATGCGTACATCTCAAGAGTGTTGAATTCGCGATTGGCATTCTCCGTGGCATGATGTCAGGATGAGATGGCAACCTTCGAAGCCGGCCTCGGTGATCATGGCACGCAGGGGCCCTGCAGGGTCTCACATCGAACTCTGCTTTGGGATCGCTTCACCGTGCTTTTCCCATGAGGCAGCAGCAGCACCGGGCAATTGCGAAGTACTACGTGACTTGGAGCAAGACGTTAGTTGCCGACAACTTGGATTTTTTGAAATCATTCTTTCAACGTCCTCAAAGGTGACTCCTTTCATTTCGTCAACAGCCGCAAGCGTTCAAGTAAGAGAAAAGAAGTCTAGCCCTGTCATTTGCATCAAAGGAGCAGCATTCAAGGAGACAAGATAGGGTTCGCGGCGATTAAGCGAGAAAAGTTGCGGTATTGATTGTCTAGCCTGGTCCTTCGATTAGTGGCGCGAAAGAAAAGCCCGTGGTTCTGATAAAGACACTGCAGATGCATGCCTCAGCATGATGAACGAGATCGTATCAAAGGCGAGGAGGTTCTGCGGATTAGAATCAGGGCGTCAAGGCTCAACCCTAAATCAACGCCGTCGCTCATACCTTCCCAAGGCGCCCTGTCTATCAAGAAAAACCGAAAAGGCATGGATTGCCAGCGATAGTCCCCCTTAAGTAGATGTAGTTTGGGGTGTATTAGAATAAGATCCCGATATACCCCCTATTCTATCTACTTAAGGGGGACTATGTGCTTTGCAGGCTGCTTAGGCGACTGGTGGGAGTGCGTGTAAAGGTTTCAGAATGCTTCAGTGCCACGGCAACCAAGCCTTGGAGTCTTGGTGTGTGGGTGTATTGAAAACGGTGCACTCATGCAGAATTGGTGGGAAAGACGAATTGCATGGATGCGGGTACGTAGAGGTGCGGAGGGCCGCTCAAGGTAACCTGAGTGCATAGGCACAGCAAATTCAGGCGAATGTGTATCAGGGCATCCACTAGACACAGCACTAGTTCATGTTACCACCAGAAGTTTCTAGTCAGCTGGCCGTCCGTTTGTGCTATGCAATGCTCATGTCGGGCCAAGGAGCAGCGCAACCTTTTGGCCAACGCCGCCAAGCAATGCCGGCAGTTTGGAAAGTGTTTATATCAATTTCTGCTTAAGGCCCGTCTGCTATGCTCGCATTGGATCATTTTTTTTGTGGTCCTGGCCCCTAACAAAAGCCCCAGCGCCATTGTAGGACCCAATTGTGGCTTCCTGGAAATTTCAGAGATTTCCGATCTGCGGGCCCAGCACATGCAGGGAACACCAGACCAGAAACAACTGCTCGAGTAAAGCACGAATCTTGCCACTTCATGCAGGCTGGGTCGCATTGCTGCTCTTGTTTTGGGCTGTTAGACGGTCTTGTGCGGGTACATGGGTGTGAGGTGATGGGCGTTGTAGCTGGGCCTGCGACACGCGTCTCCTCTCCAGATTTCCAAAGTTCAGCTTCCGACAAGTGGTAATTTGGGATGGTGCAGACATGGGAGGACTACCTGCTCCAGGAACTTGCATGTATTCGTGAGTACGGCAGAAGTTTTTTTTTGGACAGCCTCGCTTTGCATGAACAGCACAAGAACCTCTGATCCAAGAGAGCTTCCGAAGATGTGGGATCTTTGCAAGCACGCCATTTTGCACTGATGAGTCTGCTCGACACAGCGGGTGCTCAGGCCGAGCTTGTAGGTGAATTTTTGGAAGGCAAGGGACATCCTGGAGCCTTGATGTGATTTTCACTTAGCACTTCTACAAAACATGGATCCTGATTCAAGCAGCAACATGTCGTCAGCTGCCAGGCACTATGCGCTGTGCGAAGAGTACCCAACTGCTCTCAAGCTGTACCTCAAGGCCATGGCTGCTGACTACTTGCAGTTGCGTTTGGAGCAGTCAAGGGTCATGATGGGTTGGACATTTGGTGCAGTGCAGGTCGGCGAGAAGGAGATCGACCACGCCATTGAGGAGCCCAATGGGCAAGCGTCAAGGGGAGTTAAGCGCCTGGAAACCTTCGAGAGAGGGACTTGGGGTCGGGTGAGTTGTGCGACGGGAATGTTCATGCCGAGAGAGAGCTGCTGCAGGTGGTGGGCAAGGCCAGGAATGATTCCCTGACGCATACCCTCATTGACTACCTCATGGGTGAGACAGACAACGTGCCCAAGGAGAGCTCATCGCCGTGCGTCACATGTCTTGCAGCTTTGCAACTATTTGCGTTGAGGTGAGTGCATTTGGGCACACGCGTTGTGAGATCAGCCGCTTTCCTTCTCATCAGCTTGATCGAAGGATGCCAATTACGTCTACCGGTTGCACAAGGCTCTCGGAAACTACATGCAGGCTCGGAGACTCGCGGCAATTTCATGTCCGTGCAAGCTTCCAGCATGGTGCCATTTCCAGAAGAGCTCTACTTCTTCGCTTTTGCCAGACGAAGCATTACCAACTTATATTGGGCAACTATTTTGGCCTGTCAGGTGCTAACTGCCGAGATCATTTAAGATCTGTCAATCAGGTACTCGGCAACCTCACAGGCCCTTTTTAGGCAAGAACGCGCTCAGCGATGACTGTGCTCCTTCTACTGGGATTGAATCCCCAAGCACGATGAGGGTCTGGGCCCAGGAGAAAAGATTTCTGGAAATCTAGCTCATCGCAATCTCTTCTTGAACGTCTACAGCACGCGCAAGCAGCCAAGATTGGCAGCAAGAACTGACGTGGCCACACCAGCAACAAGCGAGCTATCCTCACAAAGGCATCAGGACAATGAGCACCAGAAGCAGTAAGAGCACCAGAGGTATAAGAGCTGTGTGTCAGAGTTACTGTACGGTACTCGCCCGAAGATTCTGCCCTGTATGTCCACCTACCTGACAAGCAAGGATGCAAACCGGTGCATGTGTGCCGGCTTCTGTCTTCACAGTGTGTTCAGGCAGCCGGCACTGCCCACATCATTGCAAAGCAAGAGCAAGAGATGGGCAACTACAAGCAGGCCCCTGGCAAGCCATGGAGTATCTTGCAGCTGACAGTATTGGAAGGCATCAGCCTGGATAAGGCTTGATCACAGACGTACGCAAACCACAAACACTTTTGATAGGCTCACCAGCTTCTCTTCCGCACCTACCAGGACAGGTCCTGTGCTGCATCTGCGTAAGAGTAACTAGAGTGGTACTTGCGTGACCTGGCTTTTCCTCGTTTTCGACAGGACCTAAAGAGCCAGAAGCTTGCACTGCCACAGGAGCTGCCAAGGCCTCTGTCACTCCTAGCAATTCTCTGAGATCTCTATCATCTTGTCAGCTTTTTCTTTTCCTTGGTGAGAAAAGATAGGTTAACAACGATCGTGGTGAATGTGCAGAAGCGGAATGGACAAAGTATGGTAAGAGCGTTGTGCTGGATCTAGATTCTGATATAAACTGTTCGCTGAGGTGGCGCAGGCTGATGCTTCTCCACTCGTACGTCATTGCACCCTGACAGCCACATATGATGCTTGATAGGAGGTCCCTCCACATCAAGCAATGATCCCTTCCAGGAAGCAGATCTCAAAACCCATTTATGACTGGCGTGTCGTACGAGTTCTAGTTACGCAGCAGAAGCTGAAAATTTGCCCAAGAAGCTGAACAAATGCCCAAGCAATCTTAGGTGAAGCGGCTGGTCAAGGCCAGGAAGTCCCACGACCAGCGGGGTATATTGAAACTAGCTTGCTCGAGCTCAAACTCACCAGAATGGAAACTGTTTCGCTAGACCTATTCCTACATTGCATCTGTACAGATGCGTGCATCCGGCAGTCACGTTCAGACGGCGCCAAAATTTCAGCATTGATGTTCCTGCATGTCAGCTATAGGTGCAGAAGCTCGCTCCTGCTTTTGTCGAATGCAGGCTGGAGACCATCACAGTGCCGCGATCATGCGTGAATCCAAGTTGGATTTCCTGTACTGCAGAGAAGAAGCCAAAACATGTTACGAATGTTGAGACATTCTCAGCCTTGGAAACCCATCACGTACCTTAAGTATGGCAATCGCCAGCCAAGACGGCGATGCAGCTAAGACAAGACTTGTGTGTTTCAAGGGATGCGGCATTTGCACAGCCGCTGTGTCAGCGTGTTCTGTTCTCGACCGACACAAGAGTGTGAATTGAGATGAATTGAGGTTGGTACGCGTTGCGAAGAACATTCAGCAGTCGCAGCCTAAGGCCTGAAAGAAAAGTCTGAGAAGGCTCCAGAGTTTTGCACCGTAAGCTTTGCTCACCAGACAGATCGGGTGGTGGGCCACTATGGGTCAGCCCTGGCTGTTACTTGTAGCTGGTAACTGCTTCATTGAATGCCCTGTTGCACTTGCCCATAGCTGTGTATGAGCGAAAGCTTCCCAGGTTCCCAGCGCACATCGTCCCAATTCTTACTTCTGTGGTCATCGAGTGTCAGCGCGCCAAGATGCCTGGTGAGGTTCGCCCGCATGGCAACTTGAGATAGGTTTTCCGCAGCAGTCCTGTATTGGTTCAGCTTGCTAAGTACTGTAGTGGTTTCGCGTGACTGAAGGGTGCTCAAGCTGCCTGCTTGAAGAGCTTGCTCTTCTGATTTCTGCGCTTGTGCAGTCCTACCAATACGCCTGCACCCTCATGAAGCCCGAGTACCGGAAAGACGTTTCAGAGCAGCCGCAGCCTTAGGCGGGAAAGCGCTTGAGATTGCAACTTCGGAAACGGATGCTATGTTTTTGGTGTAAGGAATATGCATTTAGCGTGGTGGCTGCGCAGAGCTGATCACATGCACAGCCATAGATTGTTGCATGCGCGAGCTCAGGCTTCCTTGCAGGGGTATGGCGCGGTACTAGTCTGATTTCGCATTGAAAGTTTCGGCTTCATGAGGTGCATGTCAGGTTCTCAAACACTCATCACCATTAAGTTTTTTGCTTGCGAAGTCCATGCAGCGCGTGCCCCAAGCCAAAGCGACCTTGTTAGACTTGTACAGAATCCAATTGTTTGGCGTTGTACGGTGAGCCAGCTTTCGCCTGTCCATGCGGCGCATGGCGTATAACTGATTGACTGGCTCCCAGGTATAAGAAGAAGATCGAGAACATTGTGCGGAAGCCGCCTCCAGAAGTGGATCAACGGGATGCACTGGAGGCCGGACGAGCACGCTGGAAGCTGAAACCGTCAGTTCCGCTGATTTTCGTCACTCATGCTTGTAAAGTATTTCCGCAAGCTTCTGCAAGCTTGTGGCAACGGGATTGCCCCGGCCCGTCACATTTCAAAGCACAGTGAGGCGAGCCTGCCATGCATGTACTGCAGCTTCAACTTTGCGGAGTCGCAGCTCGACTGTCGCTTGTCAGCATTCATTCATTTTTTTTTTGCAGCGGGCCACAGGGGAGCGGCTGAGCAATTGAACTGTTGAAGCCTTGGGTACCCGTAGCTTCCCCGCCCCAGAAGGTGGCAGGCAGGCCAGGTTAGCTCTGCGTCATCGAAGTTCTGACCCGCTTATCCGGCTTGCCCTCGGCTGGAGGGAGGCAGAGATGAAGATTACATCCCGGACAGTCTGCGGTCTCAACATTTCTGCTGAGCTCCGCTTTCAGTACCTTCACCTGTTGTGACGCATCAAGTGCTCAGCATGTTCGCTGGTCGTAGCGCACTTTGGAACACATGTACGCCAAAGCCGAGGCTTGAACTGCAAGAACATCTCTCCATTCTGCATCGCCAGCGGTATGCGCATGCTTCGGGAAGATTGGTCGGGACCTTGCAAAGGAACTACTTCCACAAATAATCACGCGTACCGAAGTTATGGCTAGAGAATGCGGTCCCCATGGCAGGCCGGCTTTCACGATGTGTCCTGCTAACATTCTGCTCCGCTCGTCCCAGTGCAGAGGGTGTCTCCAGTGGAGAGGGTGTCGTTCAGGTCCAACTGCCCGGCCTGCGGCTTTCCTGCAAGGCCAGCGCTTTGGTTTTGGCATGGAGTCGACCGGCCAGCAATTCGCGGAGTTGCAAACCATTTCCGGCACCGCTGTCCGATTCAACAATTTCCCCACGAGGGCTGTTCAGCTTTTCAGATTCGCTCGATTGGGGTTGAGAAATTCGATGAACTCCAATCTTATGTCGCCGCAACTTTCCGCTGACAGGTATTCTGTCTTGACGGCTGCACTGCAGGCACCTCGCATTCTCCTTATAGAAGCAAAGGTGGAACCTCAGGTAGCTGCAAGTGTGTGCGGGGTGTCGGAGACAGTGGAAAGCAAATCATGGTGCATGCCTGCAGACGCTCCTGCATGATAAGTGCAATACTGAACGCTGGATTTACATGGGACAGATATATTTGACTGGCGGGAGGTCGGATCAAGGCTTTACTGAATCATTTGCTGCTGGTGAGAGGACCTGCCCTGATGGTCATCAGTCCATGCAAACCAGTCAGTTGTTGCCAGGCAAATGAGCAGTGCCCTATGTGCGATGCCGTTGTGAAGCCTGCAGCCTGCCTGAAGATTATGTGGCACACAGACATAAGAACACGTTTGGCTGGGAAGGGATTTGAAGTTGTTGATCGTTGCTAACCTGCGGACCCCTTTGAGGGTGGATGCTTTTCAACAACATCTGGTGACCCGCGGCGGCAGCAGCAGCAAATAGCAGCAAATAGCGGAATCAGTATTCGTACCTGTACTCGTATTTGTACCACTGTAGAACTAGTATACCACCACCACCATCACCACAATTACATCCGCACTGACTCCGCCGCCGCTGCCACCACCGCTGCTGCCGCCAGGCCATACCTGTGACCGGCGCAAGTGTTCTTATTGTACCATGTCTGCCTTGTGCACCAATTCTACGAAGACGGCCACTACCCACTTACCGCTGCTTTCACCTTAAGTTGTCATGACGCTCCGCTAGTTGGAGAGAGTTAGTGCAGTGATGGCAGTCGCGGCGTCTGTGAGAGGCTTAGTGGTTTCGTGGTAGCGTTTGTACTCGTAAGGAGCAGTCAGTGATCAGAGCAGCAGAGGTAGTTGTTGTAGTCAAGCTACGGTAGTGATGGCCGCTGCCAGTAAGCCGTCCCCGGAGTAAAAAAAGGCATTGACTACTTGCAGGAAGTCAATCAATCAATCTATGTGTATGTACGTAGGTACTGCAGGTATGCACGTACGTACGTGTGTAGGTATGTGGGTATGTAGGAATGTGCGCATGTATGTGTGTATGTGTGTATGTATGTATGTATGTATGTATGTATGTATTATGTATGTACGTTTGTATGTATCTATCTATCTATATCTATCTCTGTATCTGTGTATCTATGTTTCTTTGTCGTACTTCATCGGGTTTTCGCATATTATCATCATTCGCATTTCCATTGGCCCACAAATGATTTTCCCATTTTTCATCACATGTAGACCCTGTTTTGCACGCCAGCAACAATACAGGCCAAGACAATAGTCGGGTTTCTCCAACATTGAGCTCCACAAACGCCTGACCTGCCCGCTAGCCACAGAAATGTGCAACAAGCAAGGCCGAAGTTGTGTTGGTGCCTGGGCCTCAGTCCAGCCACAACCCAGGGGCCTCTAGAGTCAGCGCGTACACTATGACCGACAACCTCACACGCTCGAATGAATCCCTGGGGTTCTACCTGCCTCCACTATGTTGCGGCTTACATGGACGGTCATGGACGGGTGTGGTTCAGCTCCAGCAGTAGCAGGCCAGTCTTGTTCCCAGACGCAAGGTAAGGGTTTCCCATACCGTTTTGCTCCAAGCTCCGTGTTGGAAAAACATCATGTCTCCTATGTGGTGCTGAGGGCAGATCCGACATCGCAGATCAACTACTACAAGTCTTTGCTGCCCAGCTCAACATGATACAGTGGATGATTAAGTTGGCCTTTGGAGCTGCTGTGACTGCGATGATGCCAGCCACAGGTTTCAGGCCTCCGAGTCTGAGAGCGCGCCGGCCCCACCGCCACCGCCGCCTCCACCAGCATGAGAGCAGAGGGCTGCCATACACAGGGTGTTCTCAAGATTGGCTTCGTCCCTGGTGCACACAGCCTACTTTAGCACAGCAACTACTTGCATTACATAGTGTATGCCTTCATGTGCCTTCATATTGCGTGGTGCCTCCAGAGAAGACCTTTTCGATAAGACAGTTTGCTCGTAGCCCACAATTGCTGGTCGATTGTCATGAGAGGGTGTCAGGGATCCATTGATGATATTCTGTGACGCATCTCCAAAGTTTCCTCGAGAAACAATGCTCTCCTGCTGGAACCAGTGCATTTGCTTTCACCCTCATCACATGCAGCCGGGGCATGTATCAGTACTGATAGACATGCCACAAGGAGTTGTCTGGCAAGCATCGTAACATATCGTAACAAATTTGTTGACATTGCAAAAGAATAGGTGCGGCATGGTGCTACTACAGTCTCTTGCGTACGGCGAGCTTTTGCTGCGGCCTTTTCTGCAGGAAGGTGGCTTTCTGGGATTGTGTTGCTATTCCACGGCCAGTCGATGTTGAACTCTGGCTAGCTTGCCACGTAATGATAGTTGATCACAACTCGTCAAGGAGTCTATGGGATTCCACTGTTATGCCAAATGGAACCTTCTTCAACTATGGCCTACAACTGGCGCTAAATAGGTTTTGGTCTGCGTACGGAGCCCTCAGATTTAATTTCCAATCGCTAAATATACAACCCCGGTTTGCCGTAGACGTAAGTTTGGCCAGGAATCTGGTATGCATGCTTTAACTCGCCCGAGCGCTTTAGCCGAATGCTTCAAAAGGCCGGCAACCTGCTGATTTCATGATGCGGAATGAAGAGATGATCTCTTTGGACGGATCGTATGGAAACCGCCGCATCCTAACGGAGCCCAGATATTGTATTTATATATCTGGACCCTTCTAAAATCAATTTTCATAGGAAAAGATATTGGTGCGTAGAATATTTTGATAATTCTATTTGGAATCAAAGATTTTCTCGTTTTTTTCTGGCGGAATAAACTTCTCATTAAAAAATATCTCTAATATATTACAAGATATCTTTTGATTCTTTTCGGCGCTATTGTAAGCTAAGTCTCAAGTTGATTATGAAATGTTTTTTCGGATCTTTTGAAATCGTCGATTTTCGTAGAAATAGGTTGATATATAGATTATTTTGAGGTTCTCGATATTTCTGAAAGACGATATATTATAAAGATAATTTGGAAATTGAATAGATTTTTTGAAATGCCTGAATATTATAGTCTTATTATTTGCGGCTTGCGATTTAGTTTTTCTAACTCTCGTAGTCATTTTGGCTCAAGCAATCTGAGATTGGCAGTTGAGCCAAAATGGTAGATTGAGCTTTTGCTTTCGTTGAGG